CTGGATGCCCACTGTCCCAGGGACCCACTGGACTCAGGCAGACAGCTCCTGACCACTGTGCTCATTCTGTGTCCAGTCTTCTTCCTGCTGACCACCTCCTGGACCTGCACTGCCTCTTTGCAGACCCACCTGCAGGGCTTGCCTGTTTCCTCACCCAGAGACCCCTCTGGACCTCACTAAGTGGCTGAGGCTGGTCTTGAACTTTCGGTCTTCCTGCCTCAGGCTCAAGAGCCACTGGGATTATAGACATGCACCACATGCTCAGCAAGGAAGGGCACTTTGGAAACAGCCCCAAACCAACAAAAACTCCTAGACCCTGGCCCACCCTGCAGCCCCCACATGTAAAATCCATCCCCTTCTTTGTCCGAGGAGTCAGATGGACACTCGAGGTGGGAGCTCTGTGTCCCTTCTTAAGGCACGGAACCCCACAAAAGCCTTGCCTGTGTCTGAACTGCTGGGGTCTCAGCTCTAGTCTTGTTTCAGTCACCTCTGGGACCCAGGTTGGATGTTATGCCCCTGTGTTGAAACTGCTCTCAGGGGTGCTGGTCAGAGGCTGTGGGTCCTTGGGGAGCTGGGCCTGACAGGCCTCAGGAGGTCAGGACGAGCCCTGGAAAGAGGCTGTGGCCTGCCTGCCCCTCCCTGCTTCCTGGCACCAGGTGTGAGCACTCGCTGGACAGGTTTAATGGCAGCATTCTGCCGTTGCCAGATGCCAAGCCATTGGACTGGTGGCCTTGGACTTGAAAATCACGAGTAGCCTGTGTCTGGCATATCCTCATCGTGACAGGGATCTGACATGCCACAAGGCCATGGTGACATCTTCCCCACCTGACACTGACCATCTGGTCAGCAGGCTCCTGACTTGGGCAAAGACCTCTGGCCAGACGGGCTGCAGGCTGCCAAGGGGCTTCCTGCCCAGACCCGTGGTTGCCCAGGTCAGCCCCACTGTGGATGCTGGCTGTGAGGCCCGGGTGCCCTCAGCACCTGGTGCCCTGGGGCTTGTCCTGTGAGCCTGAGCAGCAGCCAAGCTGCCCCCACCCGGCCACACGCCGGGGCCTCTGCTGCCCTCCTGTGGAGGCCATGAGCACATGCAGGACCCGGCCCTTCCCATGCAGGAGAGGCCCAGGCAGGGGTGGCTTCACACAGCACAGGCAGCAAGGGCGCCTTAGAGCAGGCTGGGCAAAAGGAGCCCCAACCTCCAGGCAAGGCTGCCCCGAGCTCAGCCCTTGCGGGGGGCTGGCGTGGCCGGAGCAGTGGCGAGTAGGGGTGGGCAGGGAGGCTCTCCGCTGAGAAGCAACATGGGGTGGTTGCTAACTCAGGCCCTGCTGTGTCCTACACTGCCCGACAGCAGCCAGCACCCTGAGCTCAGTGGGAAAGGCCGCACTTCCAAGCTCCCTGCAGGCGCGCTGTGGCCCTCCCCTTCCGGTGTTCCCACAGAAGCCCACCAGCAGGAGGGCCCCTCACAAGAGCACATCAGCAGCTTCCCGCCACGGGCATCAGGGTGAAAGCAGGGAGACCAGGGACACCAGTCCTGTGGGTGGAAGTGGCAGGCAGGAACGGTGTCCTGGGATGTGTGCCAGGCATGTCCGGGGGACAGACGTCCTGGTTTTAGTCCTGTGTGACTCATCTGGGCTTTGATGATATTCTTGGCGAGGGCCTGCCTGGGCGATGCTTGGATGTGTCCCTCCACCCTTTCAGTCCCTTTTATCCATAACCTAGTTCCGCCATCTCCTCCTCCGGCGAAGCTCCTGCTACCTGAGGAGCTCCCCAGAGGGCGTGAACTGGCCAGGCTGTAGGCTGCACTCTATTTCTCCCCATGCCGTGGGGCTGGGAGTCCAGTGCAGATGTGGAAACTGAGGGTTTGGCAGAGGCCCGGGCTGTAAGAAGGCAGGTTGACCCTGCGCCTCCCACGCTCAAGGTCACCCCGCTGATGGCCCAATCCCCAGACCTCAGGTGCTGCAGGAGGGTCTGAGGCTGATCTGCTTGATGGAGCTAACTGCCACCCTTCAGTGTGAGCACTGGACAAGGCTGTCCACACCAGCCCTCTACTGTGCTGCTGCCAGGGAGGTCCCAGCCCTGGACCCCTCTCAAGCTGCCTCAGAGGTGGCAGAAAGCTGCGTGGAGAACTGCACAGCTCCGGCTGCCTGGCCCGAGCTCACCTGTGAGGCAAGGTACACCCCAGGAGGCAGCAGAGGGGCAAGAGACTCACCTTCCCTTTACAGAGGGGGGCGGGGCTGCTGTGCCCTCTAGCTTGGGACCAGGGACTCCAGAGGCCCATTTCGTCTGTTGACATGCACATCAGCCTCCACCTTGCTGTTAACCAGTGGTGCTGGTGCAGGCAGCCCTCGGTACTTGTTCAGCGTCCTGAGTATCATCTGGTTTTTTTTTTTTTTTGGAGGGGGGAGGGTATTGGGGATTGAATACCAGGTGCTCAACCACTGAGCCACATCCATTAGAGACAGGGTCTCACAGAGTTGCTTAGGGCCTTGCTGAGTTGCTGAGCCTGGCTTTGAACTTGCGATCCTCCTGTCTCAGCCTCCCTAGCCACTGGGGCTACAGGCGTGCACCACTGCACCTAGCTAAGTCTTGTTCTTAGCAACTGAAAAGCACACTGGTTATCTGAGCATTAGGTGAGGACACACAGGAATGCCTGCATCTGGGGACCCTAGCTGCAGCCTCATGCCCATGTGCTCCACAAAGTGTGGGCCAGAGATGCCTGGGCCAGGTGGCTGGACCTGTCAGGGAACCTGGGAGAGTACCCAGGTGGCAAGTCTACTGCTGCAGAGGTAACATCTGAAAGAAATTCCTCACCAGCAGGCTCTGAGGCTGGAAAGCCAGAGATGACCAGTGCCACTGCAGACGCCCAGCCTGTGGTCCTTCTGCCACTTCACACTGCCCGTCTCCCAGCTGCCCAAAGATAAGCAGACTCAAAACAGCAAAGTGAAAAAAAGAAGTTAATGTGACAAAAAGGCAAATTTTTCTTAATGTACAAAGAGCTGCTTTAATTCAAGAAAACAAATGAAAATCACAGGTGGACGGGGCCAAGAGGAGAGCCAGTACCCTGAGAAGGGGTGTGACCCAGCTGTGTTCTAACTCCATGCTGACTTATGACGCCAGGCACAGTGGCTTGGAGGCTGAGATAGAAGGTCACAAATTCAAAGCCAGCCTCAGCAATGGCGAGGTGCTAAGAAACCCAGTAAGATACTGTCTCAATGGGGATTGGGGATGTGGCTCAGTGGTTGAGTCCTGGGTACTGGGATTGAACTGAGGCCGAGGCAGGAGAATCACAAAAAAAAGGTGTGTGTGTGTGGGGGGGTGCTAGGAATGTGGCTCAATGGTTAAGTGCCCCTGGTTCAATACCAGGTATAATAAAAGACTTATCCAGAAACCATGAAAGAAAAAATAAATTCAAGTACTCACGAAAAACTACCATTGAAAAGGGAAATGTCAGCCCTACATATTTAAAATTATCTACTTCTACTCTGTGTTAAACCAAGTGGAAAAACCCCCAAATAACCTACTGTAACTAGTTTCCAAAAAACTGGAAATGAGCATTCATTTTAATTCTTCCTTTTAACAAAACAACTATACAATATCCAGATTAAAAATAAACTTGTGGTGGGATAGGTGACACGAGTTCATTTAGAACTGCACATCTCCTGCCAAATTAAAAACTACTGCATAATTTTAAAGCATTAAGAAAATGAAAAAACAACTCATTAAAATTCCTAATGTCTTCCCAAAAAAGCAAAATAGAGAAATCCAAATTCCAAACAAACCAGTGCATGTCAACTAAAAATGGGCAAACAACATGAAACTTACATGTCAATCATAAAAGTCCACACTTAACAGGAATACCAAGGGACCATTCCCCAGGGGGGGAAATCTAAGGGCCACCCTAGAATCCAGCTCAGGTATGCTAAAGGGAGTCCTGCTGGTCAGTGCTGCTTCCTTAGGTGGGTGCAACTCAGTGGCCACAATGTCCAACCCAGTCCTCGCCCATGACCAAGGACTGCAGGGTCAGAGCCCTTACAGAGGACACACTTCCTAATCCCTCCAGCTAGAGACTAGAGGATGCAAGCTCATCTGTAAATTGGAGCTGACAAGCACTCAACTGGCAGGACACTTGTGTACCAGCCTCGTGACTGCCTTTTGTCTTAGGGCACCCGCTTACCTGCTGGTAGGAGAGGACCCTCTGTGGCAGGGAGAGGACTCCTGACCCCAGAGAACCCTCAAGTCTGTCCTTTCCAACTACCCACCCCTACCCCCATCAAGCACTTCAGATAGGACTCTCATTCTGGAGGGTTCTGCTGGGTGCCACTGCAGCGGGCGAGGTATGCCTAAGGACAGCAGCTACTTCCTCCCTACCCTCCCCACCAGACAGTATACAGTAGGCACCTTACTACAAGAACTCCTTGGCAACAGGGACAGGCATCTCCAGGAAGGACCCTTGCTTGACAGGACCTGCAGACTGGTTAGAATCTGCAGCCAGGAACCACCCTAACCTCCTAGGAACACAGCAACCTGGAAACATGCAACAGCCAGAGGCTACTGCTGCATTCTCAGGCGCAGGGGTATACAGCCTCCAAAACACAGGCTGTGTCACTGCTGAGACATGTGGTCTATCACCCCTTACCTGCAGGCTGGAAGCATCCCATAAGGAATGTTGGGTGTATCCAGGCAAGAAACACAAGGATTCAGTCAAGAAAGCTGTATCTGAGGTTGTTAGAGCTACAGTTAGGGACATAGGCAGATAAGGGCCCACCTTCAAGGTGGGCAGTGAACACCCTCACCCTGGTGGCAATCCAGCCATGGAGCAAGGACAGTTTCAAAACATTTTAGGGACAGCAAAAAGGATCCAGGCGCAATTCAAATCATCAAACTAAATCCTGAGATGAAATGCAAGCTCTGGGAGGCTGGGGAGAGCCCTGGCAGCACACCCAACAAACCTGGCCCAGCACAGTTGGCCACTGCGTGTGGAGGCAGAGCACAGGAGCCCCAACTTTAGCTTCATGGAGAGCATTTATTACAAGACCCCACAGTGCTTTATTTTTTCTTTTCGACATCCTGTTCTGCAGCTTCCTTGGCCCTTTTTGCCCTGATGCCAAAGAGCCGGGCGTTGGCGCGAGCCATGCGGAGACTGGCAAAGGCTTTGAAGTTCTTCTCCTCTTCGGTGATGACTCTGGCTTTCTCCTTCTTGTACACCTGGGAGGGAGGACAGGATGAGGCTGATACCTTGGGCTGTGTGGCACTGCCCACAACCAAACCAGTAAGAAGTCCAAGGGAAGCCAGGCAAACCTGCCTTGGCACCACCAGGAACAAACAAGACTATCCTCTTTGGAGGTTAGGAAGTCTCCCCATAGCCAGGCATGGCAGTACACACCCAGAGCCCCAGCTTCTCAGAAGGCTGAGGTGAAAGGGTCAAGAGTTTGAGGCCAGTCTGGGCAACTCCGCACCCGCCTGAATCAACAAAAATAAAGCAGCAGGCAAATATTAAGAGAGAAAGTCTCTCCCCTTACTTTTTACCTTTTTTTTTTTTTGGTGGGTGGAGGTGGGGGATCAGGGATTGAACTCAGGGGCACTCGACCACTGTGAGGCCCTGGGCTTGATCCAACACCACATAAAAATAAAGGTATCGTTATCCAACTACAACTAAAAAAAATATTAGAAAAAAAAATGAGGAAGATGAACCAGGCGTGATGGTCCATGCCTGGAATCCCAGCAGCCTGGGAGGCTGAGACAGGAGGATCTCAAATTCAAAACCAGTCTCAAAAACTTAGCGAGGCCTTAAGTAAATCACTGAGACCCTGTCTCTAAATAATATACAAAAAAAAGGCTGGAGATGTGGCTCAGTGTTAAGTGTCTGAGTTCAATCCCTGATGAAAAAAAAAAAAAAAAAGGTGGCTATGGTGGTATGTGCCTGTAAACCCAGTGACGCAGGAAGAGATAGCCCTGGGCTCAATCCTCAAGGATGCAAACATAAAAAAATAAAAGAAATAAAAATCAAAGCTAGGAATAATGACCCATACATACAATCCAGCTATTCAGAAAGCCAAGGCAGGAAGACTATTAAGTTTGAGGCCAGCCTGGACAATTTAGGGAGACCCTGTCACTCATTCATAAATAAATAAAAATGAATTAATGGCCAGGAGCATACAACTCACAAAGTGAGTGCCTAGCATGTACAAGACCCTAAGTTTGGCAAATCAACCAAACTACATATAAGATTTCAAGAGGAAAAACATTGCTGGGCACAGTTGTGCACACCTGCCATCTCAGCAACTTGAGAGGCTGAGGCAGGAGGATCCCAAGTTCAAGGCCAGCCTCAGCAACTTAGCAGGATCCCATTTCAACATCCACCTCAGACTTAAGTCCCCAGAGAGACTATGAAAGGGGTGTTGTTAAGTAAGCAGACGCTGCGGTGGGACTGGAAGACAAAGAACCCCCACTTCCAGGACACTTGCTGGGCAGGCCACAGGGACATAAGACCACCAGCATTCCCAAAAGGCTGCCTGCAGACTGGCTTCCAAACAGCAGTGAGCGGGGACCCTGTGGGAGACCCCCTCATGCTCATTACCTACCAAGAGCCCCATGTCACTGGGTGTCACAAGCAGGGTTCTTAGCTATTGTTTGTAAAGTTTATTCTGGTTAATTTGTCATGCAAAGGTTGAAGTCTGCTTTTTCCTACTTTTGATGTTTCCCTTAGAGTACTACTATTTGCAATTTTTTTTTTTTGGTACTAGGGATTAAACCCAGAGGTGCTTAACCACCGAACCACATCCTCAGACCTTTTTTTCATTTTTTGAGACAATCTCTCACTAGGTTGCTTACAGTCTTGCTAAACTGCTGAGGCTGGCCTTGAACCTGCAATTCTCCTGCCTCAGCCTCCTGAGCCACTGGGATTACAGGAATGCACCATCACACCCGGCAAGTCTCCTGTAAATAATTCCTACAGATAATTTTTATTTTATTTAGAATAAATGTTTTAATTAGAATATATTTTTGAAACTTGCAGGCTTGCAGCAGGGAGATCAAGGGAGTGTCAATAAAACTTCTGAAAGGTGGGACAAGGCCATTCATTCCTCAAGTGGCCCTGACTTTCCCCGAGGGCTTAAGAACCTCCCTTCGCGCAACCTAAAAACCTGAGCTAAAAAGCCACCTATGGCCTTTCAACCAGGTATCTGTCCCACCCAAGGTTTCGCCTGCCAACCTCCAGAACAACACCTAAGCAAACCAAGTATCTACTTACGTTCCGGATGGGCATCACCGGTCCTGTCAGCTGGGTGGCCAGTTTGAGTTCTTCAGCCTGTGGAGTAAGACTGAAGTGAGTCCAGCTCCACTTTACCTAAGTGTCACAATATCCTGAGCCCTTATGTGCCCAGTCATTAGAGATAAAACAGGCCCAGAACAATGCTCACCTGGTCCTGAGCACCCAGAATGGGAGCAGAGCAAACCCCTTCCCTAATGCAACCTACATGAAAGCCCACAAAGATGGACACTGCTGACTTTATCCTCTAAGCCTCCTCAGAACACCTCTGGACAAAATGCATCTGAGCAAGGCAAGCAGGCTTCAAGGCTACAGCACTGTCAGCTGCCGCCGCCAGCAGACAGAAGAGCTCGGCTCAAGACCACAGCAGGACACCTTGGCAGTTGGTTAGCCCAAGAGTCCTCACCATCAACCACACTGCCCACACATAATGGCAAGGTTCTGGAGACTATGATGGCCCCAGGCACAGAGATCATTCGACCTGAACCTTGCCTCTCAGCTCCCAACCTTCCTACTTCCCAGCACGCGGTACTCACAGAGCTGTCTCCCTTCTTGGGGGCGGAGGGCTTCCTGGGGAAGAGGATGAGCTTGGAGCGATACTCCTTCAGCCGCTGCACGTTGGCCTGTAGGGACTCGGTGGATTTGTTCCGCCTCCTGGGGTCCACCGAGATGCCAATAGTCCGGGCCACCTTCTTGTGGATGCCTGCCACCTGCACCAAAAGCAGGCACGGATGAAGGCCCACGGAGCCCTCCCCCACGGGGCCACAACAAACGCTCAGCCGTCAGATGGAAAAGGGTTCAAGTGTACTTTCATCAAGGCAGTACAGCGATTCCGGAGAATGTCATCACTTGGCTGGGACCCACGAGGGCCGGACCCGCGGCCCGCGCCGCTTCCCGCACTCACCCTCAACTCCTCCAGACTGAAGCCCCTGCCAGCTCGGACTTTGGTGTGATACCGCACCGTGGGGCACCTCACTATGGGCCGGATGGGTCCCGACGCAGGGCGCGGCGCGATGCGGCGCGCTTTGGCTTGCCGGGCCTTGCGCCTGCGGGGAGAGAAGCCGGGCGGCGGTCACCTCCACTCCGCGACGCGGGGGCGGCGTGCCCCAGTTGGCGCCCCACCGCGGCACAGCGCCCGGCCCCGGGTACCCACGCGCCCGCCACGCACCTGCGGATCTTCCGGGCCGGCTGGTTGAACCACGTGGCCACGCGCCGCTGCCAGTCCTTGTGGAAGTGGGGCTTCAGGATCATGCCATTCCGGCTGGGCGCCATGGCGGCCTACGGCCTCGAGGGGAGAAGGACGACGTATGAGGGCCGGAGCCTGGCCGCGCGCCCTGGGCCCCCACCCCAGGTCCTCCCGCCTGGGTCCCAGGCCGACGCCGCCTGCGGCAACAAAGAAGCCTATCCATGGCCGCGCGGGCGGCTGCGATGGGCTGATGGCGGAGGATGGAATCTGATGGCAGCAGAGGGACGAACTCACCTCTTGCGCGGAATCGGAGGGCGGAAAGGAAGTGGCGCCGCAAAGCCCTCTGGGGTGGTAGTGTATCCGACCAATCAGAACGGCCGGAACGCTTCGCCCAATCAGAGCCGGGAGGAAACGGACGTCACGGGCGCACCTCCGGGCTACCAGCGCGCCGCAGGCTCGGGACCCCCCAGCCGCGGTTGGTACCGGTACCGGTGCTCCGGCCGTCGCGCGCTAAGGGAAGGCTAGAGTGGTGGCGGTTTTGCTGCTGGGACGCGGCGCGTCAGCGGCACAGAGACAGGAAACCTTTAAGGACTTGCGGAGTGGGGCTGGGGGGCAGCTCAGGTAGGGCGCTTGCCTGGCCTGTGCATCCCCAGCACCAAAAACCACCAAACAACTTGAGAACTCGAGCCGTAAACCCTTAGACCTCCGTGGTCCAGCGCTTGTTCCCTTGTCCTTCGACACCCCATTGGAACATTTATGCCTCTTTCTTTAGGTAAAACTTGTAGTGGGGTTTTTGTACAAAGTGGGCATTCAGTACTTAAACGTGCATTTGCTCCTTTAACCGCATAAACACAAGTGAGCCACCATTGACCTTAGGCCCCAGGTTAGGGTAACTTCTCTAAGAATAGGCGTGGCGGGTTGCAAATATGGAGCCAATAGCACAATGCCTGAGACCCCAAGAGCTGAGGCAGGCGCATCACAAGATCGGAGCATCTTAGCAAGACTCTGTCTCAGAATAAAAAATGAAAAATGTGCTTAGCATGCGCAAGGCATTGAGTTCCATCAAGAACACAGATAAATAGGTCTCGGGAATGTAGCTCAGTGGCGGAGCGCCCTGAGTTCAATCCCTGGTACCATGGAGCAGCGAGGGATAAATACTTGTGTTAAAGCCAGTTAGGTGACAATTTCTGCTCCCCAGCATGTTGAAGTTTGAACATTAGAGAAGCTCGCCAAGGCAAGCATATAAAGCATGATTTATTTAAAAAGCGGTAAGGTAGACTTCTACTGCAGGGGAGAAGGGGGCCATAGCTGGTATCCCAGGAAGCAAGGTGTTCTGCCCTTTTTAGATGTCCTAGGCTTCCTTTGTTCTTCTGCCCTCTTCCCCTTATCTTTTCCCTCCTGTGCACCTGTCTAGGCCCAGGAATGCTAGGTGGGCTGGCCAGTAGGTGGGAAACCGGTGGGCTGAAGGGGGAAGGTGAGGATGGTGCAACCCAGGACACGTGAACCACCTTATAGCTCCCTATAGGGAGGGGTAATTCCTGGGACAGATTACTTTAGCAACAGTTGGAGCATGGGCAGGTTCTTGATAAGGGTGGAGAAAGGGCTCTGAAGGAAATAACATTTCAATCCCTCAGGGGACTGTCTCCAGTTTCTCAGGACTCACTCAAAATTGACCTGACCTGATTTACCTATCTATACTGACTGCCTGTCTAATTCTGGCTTTACTTGTCCTATGCCCACTTCACCTCCATTCAGAACAAATCTGAAGTTATAACACTCTGATACTATTTGTAAACTTTTACATCCCAATAACCCTTTTTCTTTCTCACCCTCTCTCTATCCACCAAACTTTGACCTGGTAAAAATCAACATTTTAGAAATTTTATTACATAATATAAGGAATCTGTAGGCTCGTGTCCGACACTGAATAAAGAGGTTGCATGCAATATATATATATTTTTTTTTTTTTTTTTTAGACAGGTCCTTAGTAAGTTAGTTAGGGTCTCCTCCCTAAGTTGCTGGGGCTAGCCTGGCACTTGTGATCCTCCTCCCTCAGCCTCCCCCCATCACTGGAATGACAGGTGTGGCCACCACGCCCACTAACTCTGCATTTTGAAACATCCTTCAATCTTAGAAACAAGTTGCTGGGCACTGAGGGATCACAGACTTAATGACCAGGAGGAGGGAACATGCAAAGAGGACACAACAACCTAAAGGGAAGTTCAAACCCTAGTTCTGCTGTTTAGTAGGTGTGTGCTCAGTTATGAAACAAGGGCAAGGCCAGCCCTGATTCCTGCCCAATTGTTTGCACATGCAAAGCTGTAAATGAAAGCACTGCTCAATAAAGGTATAAGCAGTATCCGTCTGGGAAGTCGGTGCTAAGGCCTCTCTAGGCTTCCATTCTTCACAGCAGTCGGGTCCACAAGTCGTAGGAGTTTCAGGTGTAGTGATGCCTGAACTCCACCTCTGAACTAGTGTTGAGACTCGGGCATTATGTTTTTCCAGTCTGTGAAGTAGGAAATGCTGGGAGGTAAGCTGTGTCACAGCCACAGAACACTGAAAGGGGCCAGTCAGTGAGAAGTAGTTGTATTATGGGCCAGGCTGTATGGGCAATGACCAAACAGACTCCATTTACCCTGAGACTCCATGTCATATAAGAGATGCTTCTCCTATGGGAATACTCCGCCTCTGTACCTATCAATAGTTGCATAGCATGTTTGGCAACACAAAATGGCAATTCTCATACAATGTAAATTATTCTCTCTTTGGTTCCCATTTTTCTTGGGCAACGTACCCTGTCAGAGATTGATTGTCTAGATGTTAGTAACCATGCTCTAACTTGTACTCAACTAGGATCATTTTGACTCATTTCACTTCTGCTTGCTTACTGCTATGTCAACCTGGACAGTCCCATGGGAAATACCAGTGTACCCATTGCATTGTTTCCCTAACTGCTCACTTCAGCTTCTGTACTCCTGCTTGCTTGCAGCTACATCAACTTGAATGTGGTTTTTGCAGTTTTTGCCTTTAAAGACCCTGAAATGCTTAGGCTCAAGACTGTTCCTTGCGGAGACTGACCATTATGGGTCCTACTGGGAGCAGTGGCTGGCCGGCCACCTAAATACTCTCCAACTCAGACAAAATAGACTTAGTGTGTTTTCTGAGCGGTCTGCCCCATAACAGCTGGTGCCATGGCTTTGCACCCAGGAGACATGGTGGAATCCATGGTGGTCAAGGGCCTTCACCAGCGCAGAAGTGTGGAGGAAACAAGAACATGTCTTTCCTCAGTCTTCACCCAAAACTTTGGAAAACCCTACTGCCCTCCCTCACCATCACTCTGCTGGAATTGGGAATTGAACCCACATTGTTCTGGAGGTATAACCACAGCAGAAGAAGTTTGGAGGAAGTGTTTGTGAGAGAACATTTGTCTTGACCTGGGACAGATTTCCGTGGGCATACCAGTTGCTTTCCATGTCTTCAGGCCTTTTTGATACTCCCACTATGGACCTGGCTCTTCCTCGTGGGCTTTTTTTTTTTTTGGTAGCAGGGAAGGAACCCATGGACACTACCACTGAGCTTCACCCCCAACCCTTTTTATTTATTTATTTTTATTTACTTATTTATTTTGGAGGGGGGTACTGAGAATTTAACTCAGGGGCAGTTGACCTTTGAGCCAGATTCCTAGCCATATTTTCCTTTTTTTTAAATATCTTTTTTTTTAAAGTATTTCTTAGTTGTAGTTGGACACAATACCTTATTTTATTTATTTACTTATTTTTATGTGGCGCTGAGGATTGAATCCAGTGCCTCGCATGTGCTAGGCGAATGCTCTACCGCTGAGCCACAGCCACATCCCCCCCACACCCTATTTTCTATTTTTATTTAGAGACAGGGTCTCACTGAGTTGCTTAGTACCTCGGTTATTATTTAGTTGTAGTTGGACACAATATCTTTATTTTATTTTTATGTGGTGCTAAGGATCGAACCAAGAGCCTTGCATGGGCTAGGCAAGCACTGTATCGCTGAGCCAAAATTCCAGCCCCAGTATCTCACTTTATTTATTTATTTTTTAGTTTTCGGCGGACACAACATCTTTGTTTGTATGTGGTGCTGAGGATCGAACCCAGGCCGCATGCATGGCCAGGTGAGCGCACTACTGCTTGAGCCACATCCCCAGCCCAGTACCTCACTTTTTGCTGAAGCTGGCTTAGAACTCATGATCCTCCTACCTCAGTCTCCTGAGCCACTGGGCCTTTTTAGTTTTTGGGACAGGATCTTGCCAAGTTGCCCAGGCTGGACTTGAACATGTAATCCTCCTGCCTCATACTCCCACAAGGCTGGAGTCACAGGTGTGCTTTACTATGCCTGGACAAAATTCTCTCTCTCTTAAAAACAAAACAAAACAAAACAAAAAACAACTAAAAAAGTAGTAAGGCACCTGGGGTTCAGTCTCCAGTGCCAAAGGTAGGGGAAAAGATGCTGCCTGGAACACCTGGTAGAAGTCAGGTCTGAAATCAACATCAGAATCAAGGTGGCTGTAAGAAAATAAAATTAAAAAATAAAGTAATTATATATATATATATTTGTGATATATATATATATATATTTTAGATGGACACAGTAGCTTTATTTATTTATTTGTTTGTAGGTGGTGCTGAGCATTGAACCTAGCAACAAACACATGCTGGGAGAGTGCTCTACCACTGAGCCACAAACCCAGCCCTAAAGTTGTGATTTGGAGACTACTCTGCTGCACAAAACCAAAATGGACACAGATTCTTGCATTTTATTTTGTTACTGAGAATTAAATCCAAGGGCACTTAACCACTGAGCCACATCCCCAGCCCTATTTTGTACTTTATTTAGAGACAGGGTCTCCTGAGTTGCTTAGTGCCTTGCCATTGCTGGGGCTGGCTTTGAACTCAAGAGCCTCTTGTCTCAGCCTCCTCAGCCACTGGGATTATAGGTGTATGCTATCATGCCCAGCCCCAAAAGGACATAGAATCCAACTTTTTGAAGCCCGAACATTCCTGATTTCCTATGTATGTAAAATTGAGGGGCAAAGAAAAGTTCTGATATGAAATTCTGCTGAAAATATAGTGTTGTCACTGGGAACAATTAAGAAATGAACACTTGTGCACATTTGGCTGGCATGTTTTTTTTTTGTGTGTGTGTGTGTTGTTGTTGTTTTAACTATAGAAACAGACCCAGTCCCCTGGCATAGAATTATGTAGACATGTCTCTGCCCAAGAATTTATGTCCTGGGTGTGGGCCTCAACTAAGGAGGTCCGGAATTCCCAGATGAACACCCATGGAAGGATGGGGCATAGGTCCAGATCTTCTTTCAGGACTGACCCCCAA